TTGCACGCTGGGATTAGTGCACAATGTTGGGTACATCATAATGAAGAACTCGTAGCCACCTTGTAGAATTCTGATTGGTGAACGGTAAATAACATCTGGGTCCCACTGCAAATACGTTTCAGATTATTATTTTTTTATTAAAAAATTTTCAGAACCACACTTTTTGTAGTATATCGAGCAGAATTCCAATAGGGGAAGTTGGAGGCGGGTTGGCATCTCTACTATTCCAATCTATTAGCACAACTTGTTCTTTTACTGAGCGAGCTGACCATAAAACCTTGGCACCATTTTCTAGTTTGTCTTGTAGTTTTCCAGCCGACATACTATAAATAGTGAATAAGTAAAGAAAAGCGGCGGAAAAGGCAAATTATGTTTTCACTTACCCTGCACAGATGTGTTCCTCGGGTACATTAAAAGAGTACTGATATGTCAGATGCGATGTCTCATAATCTTTACTCGATCGACAATCCATTACTAGCACATTGCTTTGCTTCATAAGCCCGAATAATTCTTCACATTTTATAACACCTAACGATTGCAACGTATAGTAACTGCCTAAAAAATTTGAGGTGGCAGGACTTGGTGTATCCGCTTTCAACAGGTCAAATTTCTCTGACGCGCTCAGCTCGTTGTAGTCACGGACGTGTTCGCTAAGTTTAGAAGTAGGTGCTACAAGGGCTGCGGATTGCGTAGCGGCATGGGCAAGCTGTTTCGCCTCATAACGGCGGCTAAGTGATGAGTTAAGCAGCTCCAGTTTGTTCATTGTGACCTTGTTATTGGAATTACCACCAAGTGCTTGCCGTACAGTATGCTTAAGTTCAGGATAGTCAGGTTTTTTATGTATGCAATGAAGTAAATTGAAATACTTCATATATAAGACATAGGCAAGCTCTTCATCGCCCTCTCGATAATATTTATCCGCTTCACGTAGCAACTTCCTCGCTGATTCAACCAGTCTGAAAAGACGTTTTTTTTTTTAATAAAATTATGGTACTTTAGGCACATAGCCAACTATATACTGTATGTGCCCATTTATGTATATGCATGTGTGCGTACTTACATATGAGTTTTCTTCGTGCGCGCATCAGGAATCTCGGAATGTTTTTCCAAATCATTTAAATTTTTACCTAAGTGTAAATCTTTCACTTGTGCCATTTTTGGCATGGCTTAAAATGTAAAATTTTCTTCGAAGTGATTCCCGGCCGGTTCCTGTGGCAGTAATATGCAATGCACTACGTGTAGATACGTCGATATTCCTATCCTGTCAGGAACAGTGGATATTTAAACCAAATTCGCCGGACAAGGGAACCTGTTTAATTATTAATATTTTGGTATTAATTTAGCACAAGCAGCAGCCCAATTTAATCAAAAACAAATTGTTAAAAGATTTAACTAAATCGCGTACAAAATTTCATTTTGCGTCAGTGAGAAAATGACGTTTCACCTGACTATCGATAATTAATTAGTCAGCTGATTGTGGTGATGGGATTTAGTGGTTATCGACGACTTTGCAAATAATCAATTTGTAAATACAATTTATGAAAATAATATCCATATCGAATGGGATTATATTAGTTATAAAATAAAGCTTGTATTTAGATGACTGTGAATTTTTAAGATAATGAATAATTGCGCAATGAACTAAACTACAATGGAATTCAATTCGAATTATCGATGACTGTTTTTAGTTACACTTTCGAGTATACATGCAGATGGTTGGCGCCAGTTTCCTTTTCCGCTGTCGTTTGTCATTTGGCTTTACGTATTCGATTTTAACTTCTTTTCCGGTGCTTTAAGCGTTTGTTAGTGAATTTTATAAAAAGCAGAAAATGTTTATTATTAAATTTATTTTTTAGTGATTATGTGATTGCAAATGTGTGTTAATGTTGTGTTGTGTTTTATTTAATATTAGAATGGCTTTGTGATAGCAATATAAATATCTAATATCCGGAAGTCCTCTGCTGTGGCAATTAGGAACGCTAGATTTGTAAGGCAGGTAAGAAAATCACTACTGCTCAACCTTTTGCACATGCATGCATGCATGTATGTATGTATGTATAAGGATATTAAAAATGCATCGTTTCGAAAAGTATTAGGGTAGATACTTGCATTATTTTTTCTCGTTTATCTATACATATTCAATGAAAGAAAAATTTGCTAAGTCCAAAAGAGCCATCGAAAATCCGACAAAACCAAAATAATCAGCCTTATCATGGGTTTAATTTTCCCCGAACCGGTTCACTTTTGGTTTCCATGATTTTATTATGGGCGGATGACAACTGTTCGGTGAATTTTTTTCAAACGAAACTCAGCATAAGGCAGAATAAGAAATCTTTTAATACATAGTGAATTCTTCTTCTACGTATCGAGTTTTTCTTTGCTTTAAACACGCAAATTGTTGTATTCAAAGATTTGCGAAAAACTTGACGAAAATGGCCATAACATTTTTTTCCTCTCCTGTAAAAAAAAAAATAAAAATGCATTAGCAAGTTTGCACTCTAAGTTAGCGATATGTGACATACATACATAACAACACATTTTAAAACAATTTAAACATTTTTCTATTTAATATATGTATATGTACAGTAAGCGGACATCTCCTATTAGCGGACACATTCTTGGGAACGAACAATTTTTTTTTTTCATACAAAATGCTCTCTCATGCACGGACTTTCCGATAAACGGACGCGGACACTCATAAATGTCCAGTTATGAAAAAAATCTCCCATAAGCGGACGCGAAGCTTTAAGAAGCGGTCAATTTTGTTTTCTTTTTTTCAGTCAGATGTTGACTCTTGCGCTTCTACATATGAATTGTGCACAAGAACATAGTCCACATTCAAAGATATTTTATTTTCTAAAAAAAGTGTTGCCTTTTCGTTGCTCTCTTCTTGCTGCTTTTGCGAAGCGGGTAATGAGATTTGTCGGAAGGTAATATTGCTACCTTAGAGTGAAAAGTTGCTAAGTCCATTTTTTTAATTTTACAGGAGAAAAAAAAAATTTTTCCTAAACCACTTTCTTTAAGTATTTTACAAAACTCTGAATGCAATGCTTCGCGTTATTCATATTAGATCCGCACTGTTCGTTGGATTTCAAGAAATGAGGTGTCAAATAAAAGGGCTCGGCTTTTACATGTTCAATAATGTATTACTTTTTGAGTAGGGTTTGCCACCTATTTAAAAATTATTATTTTATCTGAAAATGGTATGAAGCAACGTCCGAGATTTTTCGACCACGCCCATCAAGGCATACGCAACAAAACAGAGAAGCTCGGCAAACCACTACTATATGTGTAAGTGCGAATCTATTACTATTATTATTCTCGAAAATTGCTGTACAGATTTGGTCGAGATTTTACTTAATATAATCTGTATTGATAGGGGTTTCATATTTAGTACTTAGAATTTCTATAGGGTTGCCATCTGTCTAAAAATTATAAGATTACAAAAAGTGAGATGTGAAGTGAGTTTTTGAGTAGAGTTGCCACCTTTCTAAAAATAATAAGTTTTTTCAAAATCCATTGGACTAAAAAATGAGGTACCAAGTGAAAGAATGTGGTCTCCGGATGTGCAATAAGCTTTTATATTATTTTAGTGTGATTGCCACCTATTTAAAAATTACTACCTTACATATAATACCTGAAGGCGCACTTTCTTCAAAATAGTTTTTTTTGTTAGTCACTCATTTATTTCAAAAACAACTCAGGTGTTACAATAAAAAGAGAGAAATTAATGAGGTACATTATTATAAATTTTTTTGTAGGTACCTATATTTTAACATTCTAATAAAACGTACATTACAAATATAATGAGGCGCCCCCTCCTTTTTGTTTTCCAAAATAACTTAATTTTTTTTGCCGAAAACCACTTAAAAGTTTGAACTTGTACTCTCTTCTTGCGTTTCTACGTGTACGTACTCAAAAGAGTCTTCGCAATCAGTATCAAAGCCATAAGGGACAAGATCAAATATTCCATCATCCGATTCAATGCCTCATTCGTGAATACGGTTGCTATCATCGTCGAAGGACATGGTTACCTCTTATAAATATACGTAAATAATTATGTACATTAGGGTGGTTCTTATGTGTATGAAGCAAATTTTTACATCAGATTTCCTAAGCCTCAACCCGTTCGTCGATGCTACTATATTCGAAGATATCACATATAAATTTTGGTCCCTATTGGAGACGGTTAAGGCGTATCGTCCAGGGTGCAAAGTTCATATTACCCTATAAAGACGTCTTAATCGACTCCAATCGTGACCAAAATTTATATGTGATATCCTCGACTTTAGTAGTATCGATTGTAGGTAGTAAATGAAAAAAATATATATATTTTTAATTTTTTGAGTCTCTATAGAGGAATCTGTACTTTGCCCCCTGTGCACACGCCTTAACCGTCTCCAATCGGGACCAAAATTTATATGTAATATTTGTCACCATGGTATTACCGATTGAGGGGTGAGACTGTAAAAAATCGATAATTAGATTTTTTAAGGACCACCCTTATGTACACACATAAATAATTAAAAATAATAGTAGTAAATGCTTACCTTGAAATTGACCAGAATATTCTTGCAGCAAAAACCTAAATACAAATTGAATTCGATATTTATATTTTTTAGCAATTTTGTAAATCACGGAATAAAAACAGGTAGAAATAAAACAAGTACAGTAGTTAGATCCTTTCGGATATGATGAAAGTTTTAATTTTCCTTGCCTCCTGCATCAAAACCTAATTTTTCCAGGCACGGTAATCATTATGAGCAAAATAATTTAAATCAGCATTTAAACATTATTTTATGAGGTTTTTTTATCGAAAAAAATAAAAATCAAGTAATAATAATTAATTTGGGCGAACAATTAAAACCAAATATTAGTTAATTATTATTTTTAATCTTTATTGGTTAAACTCGAAAAATAAAAATCATTGTAAATTACAGTGGGACGTATAAATAACATTGTTTTGCGACGATTACAACTTGTTGATTTTTTTAACTAAAAAAAATTATGATTATTTTCCGTTCTTGATTTTTTCATAAAAAGTCACCTTAGCAATATTTCACTCTAAGTTAACGCTGTATGAAAGTTTTGATAAAATAGCAGCATAATTTACTCTCCTGACTGCATTCTACTTTTTTAAATAATACACATACATATGTACATATTTATAATTCTTTTTTTTTCTTTTGTTTAATCGTGAAACACTCAAATTTACACTTAAAAATTTAGCACTTCGCACGCACAGCCATCTTGACCTGCTTGAGCGAATATTCGGGACCATGAAAAGTTTCCCAATACATACCCTCCTTGAATTTGTCATTCTCACCATGCAAGTAGTTACCAAAAATATTACTTTAAATAAAAAAAAAAAAACAGATTCGTTAAATAAAGTAGATTTTCAAAAGAAATTTCACACCCACAACACTTACGCTTCCATGCAATTCTTAAACCAACCCGGACTATTGTACTCCTCACTGCAGCTACCCTGCGATTTGGCATCATTGTCACGATCCACGGCACTGAACTGCTGACCCTCGTGGTACATAAACGAATCGCCAGCTGTGCCATGATAGACGCCTAATATGCCCAACTTGTAGGCGGCACGTTCATTGAAGACGCTGAAATCACTGTAGTGCGCATATTTCTTTAAACCTTTGAAATCCTCCAAGTCAATGCGAAATTCGAAGAATCCACTAAATGTGAGCTCGTGTAGACGCTGCAAGCCCAAGAAGAACTCACTATTTTCACCAACATTACCAAAACCCTGCTTGTAAGAATCCCAAGTGAGATTATGAAAGGCAACAGAGCCATCGAAACGCTGCAAGACGACTATCCAACGCTCAGCATCGCAGAGCACCTTGAAAGCTGGTACTTTCGCATCGTCAAGTTGAATTTCACTAACACCGCTAGTTTGACAAATTTGTGCCAAACGCTCGGAACATTTGTGTTGACTGCTGCTGACGCCTGCGGAGGTGGAACCGCGCGCTGATTGTAAAGTGTAAGCGCGTTGGTGAAGTTGGTGCTGCGACTCGACATCTTGAAGGCTTATAGCGGCAAGGAGAAATCAAATTTAATTATTATTTAATAAATATATGTACATACATAAATAATAAAGTTAATAAATACTTGTCTGCTGCATGCTGCTTACGATGTGCATGAGGAGCATGTATACAAGCTGCTGACGGTTCGATTTCCGGTTGCGGTGTTAGGTTGGCCACTTTTCCATTTAGTGTTTTCAATCTGAAAAACCAAGTATGTATGTATGTATGTATGTATAAAATTTTTATGGCTTATATTCAAAAAACTCGATCTGCAATTTTTACAAAAACTTCTTTCTTACGTAACTATCATCACTGATGTTAATTTTAACTAGTAAATTCTTCTAATAAGCGATATACAAGGTCAGCAAGTTAACATCATTGATGACCGTTTAGTCTTAGGTGGATTTTTATATCAGAATCTCTTTTTTGCAAAAATTAAAGATAGGACCGTCGATATGTAAATCAAACTATCATAAAACTGCGTCAACTCTTCTATATAAAATAGGCATTATCCATACTCACTTTGACAAAATTTCGTTTAGTTTCTCCTCTAGGCAATCACCATCACATCCTGGTGCTGCCTGCACCGCAAATTGTTTGAAGTGGAAAAATCCAAATACAATTATGAAAATTGTTGGCAAAAATTTTGTTCCATGCCACAACATGTTTGCACACCACAATGCTCAAATTGTCAGTGAGATTTCAGAGCCTTTCTTAATATGTAGTACACAAACATATGTATACATACAGTAGGTACAGTATAGATCGAGATAAAGACAATTGTTATTTGCATTGTTTCAGAAATAATCTGTGTTTGAGTGCAAAGTTTATCAGTGCTGAATCGGAATACATATTGGGGAAACCTAAGTTAACCCTCTGGTGATCGCAGGTTTTTTTTTTAGTAAATATTGTTAAACTCGAGCGCACTTGCGCACAGGGTATTATAACTTTGTTCGCATAACGGTTGTTTGTAACAGCCTAAAGGAATCGAGATAGATATAGACAAATGTATACATAAATGATCAGAATGGAAAGAGAAGTCGATTAAGCCATGTCTGTCTATGCGTCCGTCCGTACGTATGTCCGTGTACATAATAACTCGAGCAAAAATTGATATGTCTCAACAAAATTTGGTATATAAGTTGCCCTTTATCCAAGGTAGGTTGCTATTGAAAATGGGTGAAATCGGACTGTAACCACGCCCCCTTCTCATATAACGGTATTTTCGAAAAATGCAAAAGCTAGGATATTTCAGTAAAAATTAAATCTAAATTGTTGAAAATTAGTATGTGAAGTAGAATTTCGGTACAAAATAATATTATTATGAAATTTTTGGAAAAGGGGCGTGACACCGCCAACTTATGATGAAATACTGTATCTTAGTAGCCAATCCTTACTAAACTCGGTACAAGCCTTGCTTAGGATACAACTAAGAAATTTGTTGAAAATCTTTGAAATAGGGCAATATCCACGCCCACCTCCCATATAACGGTAATTTACAGAAATAGGAAAACTGCGATAAATCAGTAACTACTAAAGTAACTTGACGCAAAATCGATTATTGCAATGACCACTGCGCCAAAATTTAGATTAAATATTATAAAGTTTTGGAATTTGGGCGTGGCGCCGCCCACTTGTGACCACAAATGTGTATCTCGGTAACTGATTTATCAATTTCGACCAAACTTGGTGTACTTAATAACCTTGGTAAGGAAAAGAAATTCGTTAAAAATTATTCAAATCGGACTAAAATTGCACCATAAGAAGTAAAATAGGGCCAAAAATGGCACGGTTTGAGCCAAGTTGGCAGCCCTGGTGGTGAGCATCAGCTTGTCCGCGGGCAAAGCTCCTTCAAGCTTTTTATATATTTCGTATAGAAAGCTTTAAGGAACTTTGTCGGCGGACAGGCCGGTGCGCTCCATCGGTATAGAGATATGCATTGCGACCAAGAGGCCTATTGTGCCCTCAACCATTCACACTACCTCATACCCTAAAGATATTAGAAAATTGAAGAGATCTTCAGGGGATAGTGATTGTATAAATCCAAGACTTGGCCAGATTTGGCCTATTTACTTCTACCATCTTCTTGTAACAGCCTTGCACACGCGAAGCAGGTGTAAAGGAGTCTCCTCAATCAACTCACAGAACCTATTTAGGTCGTTCGACCAGATCCCTAGCTTGTGCAGGTGACCTCTTAGTCTACGGTGTCTTTCTCTAGTCTACTCTCTTTGGGGAGGTTTATGATTACCCTATACCTTGTAAGGATGTAGTCTACCAGTCTGCAGTGTTACGCCAGTATCGTTCTCTAAGTCTATTCCTCTCTATCATGAACTCTTTCTTGATTGTGCTAGGTCAAATCGCAAGAAAGGGCTAGACAATCTGCTTCCTTGTTACCCTTAACTCCTATGTGACCTGGTACCTAAATTAGTTGCATAACATTGTTCTCCGCCAGGACATTAAGTCTATCAATGCCTTCAAAACTCAAGGAGAACTTAACGAAATGATGTGAGGGCCTTGATCTCTGGTGTTCTCATTTTGAGAAGCTTCATTATTTAGTGGTATTGATTTGCCCCTAAATCTCCTCATGCCACGAACTTTTCGATCTTCCCTGGTAAAAATGTTATGCAAAAACCCACTTGAAATATGACTGAGTTCAGAGGATCTACACCAGTTTGTGGAAATGGCTAATATATCCGACTTTAATCAAATTCGGTCTTTATAATGATTCTCGTATGGGTAGTGGGCCGGTTTAAACCAACTTTCAGGTCTAGGCACCGAAAATAACAGTTATTTTTTTTAAGAAATGAATCGAAACATCAACTTAGCCTGTGGTAATTTCAAGACTTAAAAATGCTCTAGCAATTTTAGTTTTGCAAACATTCCTTTCATTTTCAGAATTTATTTAATTTCTTTAGAATAAAAGGAATATCCTCTTATAGAAGAACATGAATTGCTAAAAATTTTACTTTTTTTAAAAGTCGAAATTTTTTTGTGCGAAAATACTTGAAACTTGCTAAGAAACCGAAGGATAAGAAACAGACAAAGACGAATACGAAGGAAAATACGAGGACGAAAGACTGCGAAGACAAAGGCCTAGATGAATACGAAGACGAAAGCGAATACGAATACGAAGAAAAATTGGGAGACGAAGACGAATACGAATACGAAGGCGAACACAAAAGTGAAAACGCAAAGGAGCCCGAAAACGAATGCGAAGGCGAATTCTGAGACGAAAACGAACACGAATACGAAGATGAACTCGAAGACAAATACGAAGACGCTTACGAAGACAAATGCGAATGTGAATATGACGGCGTATCCTAAAAATATCGAATACGAAGATGAGCCAGAATACGAAGGCCAATGCGAATTGGAATTCAAAGAGGAACCCGCAGATTAAGACAAGAACAAACAAGAAGACGAACACGAACATGAATACGACGACGAAGGCACTGAAGATGAATTCGAGAAGCAATATGAAGACTAATACAAAGACCAATGCCGCGACGCATACGAAGAATACGAATACGAGGACGAGCACGAAAACAAGTACAAAGACGAATATGAATTTGAAGACGAACGGAAACGAATACGAATAAATAGGAACGCGAACACGAAGACAAACTGCAAACTCGTAGTCGAAGCCTGAAGACCAAGACGAACATGAAGACAACAACGCCTATGAGTGCGAAGACGAACGCGAAGACAAATTTGCTACGAAGACTAAGACCAATAAAGACTATAAAATTTTTGCAGTATGAACCGAACCATAAAAGGTATGCGATTCCGTGTTAAACTTGAAAGTGCTTGCATTTTACGTTTAACTTTAGCGGTTGCGACTCCAAAACAGCCCACAGACGAAGGAGCTGGGCTGGTCATATTAACTGGGTCAAACAAACTAATATAAAAACCGAATTACATTAAAATCGCGCAACATTTACCATTTCAGCCGCATTGTGTAGTGCATGTGGCAACTCGCGAATCTTTAAACATTTTCATATCTTTTTCGTTCTTATGAAAAATTCCTGTATATAGCGAATTTCCATAATATTCCCCGTTTACCATTGTTTGCCGCAGTGGGAATCTTCCACTATTGTGCACACCCTTTTCATTCAAACCCAATTTCAAAGCCGCAGTGACTGTACTCAAGGAAGCGTTCAGTTCTTAGAGGGCTCAACAGTGTTTACGTACGAATTAAAGACCAATATAACCTAAAACTATCCTTTTATCTAACAGACCATGCAATAAATCTTACTAGTTGGCAGGACTTTATTCAAATTAATATATTAATCCCAAATAACGTCGGTTAAGTGCTATTTTGGAGTACTCAGTATCGTTACTTTCAAAAATCCTTTTGAGAATCGAGTTCCGAGTACTTTTGTTATCGATACTGCCCAATACTAAATATTACGCTAACAAGGGCAGAATTGCCGAAGTTTTTCATTCGTAGGCTAGACAAAAGTGGAACGGTACAGGATCGTTTAGGATTACACGGCAATTCTGGGTATCCTATGACCCACTTAAAACCACCACTCTTTCACGAATACAAATTCGCGGCATTCTGACCAGGGCGCTGGACCGTTGGGGTACATGCCGAAAGGATTGACTTACCCCTCAAAAGATTTTATCGCAGTTGCGAGCATCCGCGCTCAAAGGAAACAGTCGAACACTTTCTGTAAGAGTGCCAAGCCCACGCAAAGATGAGACTGAAAACACTCGGCAACCCATTTCAGCAGAATATTTCACAGCGCAGTTGCCTCTGTGTGTATGACGTACTGAAATTCATTAACACGAGTTGTGGAATCAAAATGGCAACACTTGCTAATTGCTTGTCACTAGGATGACAATTCACTTAAACCAACTAACCAACTCCAAGGTGTGCCATCTGCACAAGATTTTCTGTTATAATATTAATGTATTTAAAAAAAAAAAAAACAAGTATTTTTAAACAAAAAACTAATTTTTAAGCAAAAACACAACCGACTTTAATTCTCATATAGAAATTTATACTACGTTCAAATTGAGGAGTTAAACATGTTACATGGGCTTGAACCAGTTAAATGAACAAAACGTGTTTATAAACAAGCTTAATCGCATGCAATTGTTGTTGGAAAATTTAACCAGTTAAATCATTTAACTCGTTTGAAAACCAGTTCAGCGCAGGGTTGTATCAGAAAGCTTTCTGCTTCAGCCAATCAGAAAGAGCCAAAAGCTTTCATTTGACATGGCAACGTTCAAAAAATTTATATTCTCAAAAATAATAAAAATTAAAAACTATAAAAAAATATCAAAATTGTATGCATGTCTTCCCGCCAAAAAAGAGGCCAAAGCGGTAATCAGTTATTTCCCATCAGGTCTCAGCATACGCAGAGATAAATAGCGCACATACTAAAAATTTTGAAGTGTATTGTTATATTGAAACACAAAAAATTTATTTTGAATATTTTTTTAAATTACTATTTGAAATCAAACAACCGTCAAAGTTAACTCCAAATGTTTAATGTGGGCAATTGTGTTTTACAAAAAGCTCTTTTTCATTTAACAAGTTAAATAGTCCAATTTGAACGTAATATTAGGAGTACCGTTAAATTCCGACGAATCGATAAGTTATGGTTAAGAAATGCATAAATAAATGTAAATTATGATAAAGCTACAATTCCGATTTTCATTATGTCTATCTAGTGAAATAGCCCCACTGCTGGT